GAGGGTACAAAGGATTGCATATGGCCATGCAGAATCAGGGCTTTCTTCTTTGGGGAGGACACAGTATTGAGGCTAGGATGGACTGGCTCCTTCTATTTAGAGGTGTGTTACATCTTGATTGAGAGGATTACAGTCTTATCTCTAAAGGTGTATTCCCTGGTACTCTCCTGCCTTACAACACAGCGTGGAGGTAAGCAGCACAAGGTTCTGAAAATGGTCTCTGAGAACAGACTTTGCTTTTGTGTCCTGTTTAAAATCCACCTGTTGATCCTTCCAACATTGTCCCTTGTGTCTCTGATAAAATGGCAAATATACCCTGATCATTGAGAAATACCCTTCCCATTAAAGTGCCTCTGTGCTTGTTTTCAGGAGAAGATACTCAACCATTTTGTGTTGCAAGTCTAAGTTTCCAGTTCTTCAGTGAAAGTGCTGTGATTGAATTAAATAAACTGTGAAGTATGCATATAGTGTTTTTTTTCCGACATAACTAAAATAAAATACCTAGTTGCAAAAAATGTTTAAAAGTTGGACTTTATCGCCAGTGAGGAGTGACAATCTTTAAAGAGCCAAGACTGATTTCAAAGAACATAGTGTTCTGGGAAGTGTTCCCTGCAGAAAGTGTAGCCACGTGGCATATTTTTTTCAGCTTTTAGAGCAACTGTAAGAGCATTTCCAAAATCTAGGATAATAGATAGGTAGTAAGTATTCTAAGGTAGTAAGGTGTTCTAACTTCCATAATAGGTTACATGGTTGGTACTACAAGTAAGGCTCTCTAGTTTTGTATCCACAGGGCAATTTATCAAAAATTTGAAGCTTATTTGATTTAGCTCTTCTTATTCTTCGTGTTATTAGATGGGGAAGCTGAACATTACTGGTTGAAGATTCCAGTCTAGAATAGGTGACTATTTAGGATTTGTCTCCCCTGAGCTTAGCCAGGTGAGAAGGAGGAAGCCAGCCTGAGCCAGTTGTCCGAACTCGGTGGAGAGCAGTGGGTGCTTTGCAAGAATGGTTTACCTGGTAGGCAAGGTGGGTAAGCAGATGCAATCGTCTTCTGCTGTGGGTGCTCTCTGAGCTCTTCAGTAGCCACAGAGTTTTGGTCACTTGGATTAGATGCCTACATTTTAGGTGGCTGAAGTTGAGCGAAATGAATCCCATGCTTTCCAGTTACTCCCTGTCATTACACGTTGAGTTGGTTATGAATGCTCTGACGGCTTGCTGTGTACGCTTGAGCTCATTAGCCACATCTCAATATATGTTGACTTGTCTGTACAACGTGGTGTTGGGTCTTGCTGGTGCTACCTTATTCTGCCCAAATGCTCTTATGTGTTTAGAATTTCCTCACCTGTTTGTTGAGGTTAGGTTTTATGGCTGATACTTCCTGAGTTCAAGTATTTGTAGTGTTGAATTCAGTTTGCAAATTGAGATGCCTGAATGTAAACAGCTATGTGTCTGCAGTCAGGGTTAAGCTCCTTTAATAATAGTCAGAGGAGCTCTAGTCAGTGCTGTCAAGCCTAGAGCATAATTCTGTCATCCTAAAGAAGAACTTACATCTGATCAGCTGAATAGCTGTCTAGGCTTCACTGACTACCGTCGGATCATAGGTACTGAACCCAGGCACTGACATTGAGATACAAATGTGTCATTGTACACATCTCTGTCCACAAGAAATATCCTACCCAGCACGTCTGAAAAAAAGCCATGTAAACTGACATCTAGAAAATACTTTTCCTGCAACTTTCTCATTAACTGTCAAGCCTTCTCACAGTATAAGCTAATTAAAAGCAACACAACTAGAGTGTTAATGAGCCTTCCTGTAACTGAAAGCTTTCGAAAACCTTTGAACCTATTCCCCAGCTGCATTTTGGCTCAACTGTCATGATACACCTCTGTGCAAAAGAAAAGGATTTTCTCCTTAGACATAGCTGGTATCTCTGGTCTTAAGAAGGAGCCTTAGATCCACATGAAGAAACTGAACAATAGACATATCCAGAGAGATTCCTGTTTGAGAAGAATTTGATTTAACAGGTAAGTATAAGCACTATGGTAAATGATGATTCCAAAGTATGTTGACTAATCTAGTTTACAAATTAAAACATTGCATTATTTTATGAAGAGTGTAGACCTGCAAGCACGATAAGAATTACTACTCTATTACAAATAAAATAGTGATTTATAAAATGTGGTAGAAATAAGATGTATGCCTTTGGGCCTAAACAACAACTCCTTGAGATTTTAATCTCCTGTGAGGCAATGGTACTAGGTATCAAAGACTTTTTCTCTGGTTTGGTCAATCTGTAGGCATTTTCTGATTCTTAAAATCAGCTGGTCTTCTAAGGATAAAATTGCCTCTTAAATATTCTGAAAATTTTATTCCTGAGGGACCAACAAAAGCCATGGGAGCAATTTGAAGTCCAGTCTCTTTTTAAAAACACCCAGATGAAATAAACTTCTTTTTATAGCTAGCTGTATATTCTGCTGTTAAGGTGTAGTCTCCTGCCTCATCCCAGTTCACACTCAGAATATACTTTTTTACCTGTGTATTAAATACTGAGATACAAAAATAGATGATGTACAAAACATGCAAGGCTCATCCAAGAAAACTTCTTTAAGACCTTTCCCTTTTCCTTCATGAGTGCCTCTTGTATTCTCACAGTTCTGTCTGTCTGGTCAGGTACAGTGGAAATGGTTTGGGGCAGAGATTTGTGTTCTGAATAAAGTAGTTAACTCTGTCATTGGCTATTCAGTATAATAAAGAGCATTAGAAAGTTACTACTAGCACTGTTTTAATTTCATAGGCAAAGAGGTGAGGATTTTTGTTTCATGCATTTATTTCCCTATTTCAGATAATTAAAACTTAATATATTGACGTAAACTGGGTTCCCAAGCACTGTTGAAAACACCTAGTCTATCTTCTGTCCCTCATGTTGCACTTTAATGAATGTACTTATTAAGGAAACTGACTGGAAATGACTTATCTTTCCATTGTTTCAAGGTGACTTTTTCTCCTAATGAGAATAATACTTGTTCTGCAGTGCAATTTAATACAGTATAGATATGGTATATCATCAAACAAGGACAAAACGAGCAATTTTTATGTTGTATTATTTATTTTGTGACTAGTCCAGGCTACATCATCTTGTAGATTTTTGTGGCTGCCAGGAATAATTGCTGTCAGTCTCCAAAAAT